GGCTACACCAGCGACCTCAACTACGACTCGGAGCCTTTCCCGCCGCCGCCGACGCCCCGCAGCCAGTACCTGTCGGCGGAGGAGAACTGCGAGAGCTGCCCGCCGTCGCCTTACACCGAGCGCAGCTACTCCCACCACCTCTACCCGCCGCCGCCGTCACCCTGCACGGACTCCTCGTGAGCCGCCAGCTCCGCCCCCTCACTGTAAATAGCAATTGTGCATATATGAGGTTAAAAACGGGAAGAGAGACTGAACCAGGAGGACGAAAAAAGGAAACATTTGTACATTGAAAAAGAGAAAAGCATATTTATATATTTTCTATACAGTGTTTACTGAGGACGCCGCAGAGTTTGTATCCACACTTTGTACATTTTATAAGAAAAGGTTTTATTAAAATCATCACAAATATAAGTTGCCTTAACATGGAGACGAGAGGCTGAAGGACAGGAAGCACACGGTGGACTGAACAAACCAAATATGAAACCATCAGCAGCTGCAGGAGGAGGCGGCGGCGGCGGCCATCCGTCTGTGGACGCGGTCCCGGGTGTTTGACCTCCTGGGAACGGGTCGTAGGATCCGCTGTGGATGTGAGTCGTGTTATCAAGAAGCAATAAGGCACATATTTATTAGCCAATCAGAGGAGAGTATTGACAAGGCTGCGGGGATCAATACGGAGTCCCTGAAGGGACACACGACCTCCTGACATCCGCCTCTTTTGGGTTTTTTCTTACTAGCAACACTACAAACGGAACATTGTACGGAGGCCCAGAGGGGACAAACACTTTCTGATGTAACATGACTCACATCCCCGAAATCATCGAATTCAGTGGGATTTAAACCAAAACAAACGCTCGTGTTTGACTTTCTGTTAACACCTTGTTTTATTAATTAACCCTCACATACGGAGGAAGCAGCGATCTTGTGCCTGACCAGTCTTCACTTCCTGTTTTATTTTTACTTTGAGGAAAAAAAGAAACACAAAGGAACCCAGTGCCCACTAAATGCTCTATAGTATTTTTGTACCACATATTGTGTAGATATCGTATTTATAAGCTATATAGAAATCATTGTAAATCTATCATCGCAGTACTTTTCATTCCGTCTTTTTTTATATTGCCTCATTATATTTTTCTACAGAATCAGAACGTACGGCGACAATCTCAGATCAGTCCAATCGAAGAACATATCCAGGTTTTCAGTGTCTGTTCATGTAAAGGAAGGACTGTTGTGCCAAAATAATCTTTTTTTAAACCGCGGAGGAGGCGGAGAGGCCGGGACCAGCGGACGAGCGCCAGGCGGCGTCCGCTCTGTTGTTGTTTTTGTTGTAAATCTGTTTCCTCGTGACGAGCAGAATCTTATTTTTCGAGATGATTTGTTTCGTCGTCTGATCGAAACGTTTCCTGTCGAAGAGAAAAATAACACCAGCATGAATCTGACAATCTCTACACGTCCGTTTATTAGTGTTTCTAACATCTCGTCTTTTTCCTTTTTAAACACTGAAAGCACAAAAACAACATCTGTCTTAACGAGGCATTTTATTCTTTTAATTAAAAAATGTGTTCTGTTCTAGAAAAACAGAAAATCCTTGAGAAACAAAGATTTAGTTTAATATAAAAAAAACTCTGAATGTTCGGGGCTGGGTGTCGTTATCATCTCACTATACCCAAAACATACCTGAGGTTTTTAAAAAAAAAAAATCTTTTGAGAAATTAATTGAACTTAAGAAACCAACATCTTTAAAAATATGGAACTATTTGATCAAACTTTAAGATTTTCAGTAATAAAATATATTTATTCGATACTCAGCCTCCGTATTCTGCAGGACGTTATTATTCAATTTAAACATCCTATTGAATTCAACTTGTTTCAAGAGAATTTTTTTAGGACAGAAAAGGGCTAAGTCCCGCCCCCTTTTTGTTTTGTGCTCCAATCACAGTTAGGAGCCAATGGGGGCGGGGCTAAGGAAGGATCAATATATGGAGCCAACGAAGTTCTAAAAGATATTTTTAACTTGTGCACAAACTCGTTATCTAAAGTTTGTTTGTTCATGAGGTTTTAACTTTTGCTCACAAGACAAATTATTATTGATAAACTTATCTTTAGTGTTTGAACAAATTATTATTTTGTGCACACAAGATATAAAAATATTGTGTCTGTGGACTTTAGGAGCTTCCGTAGCGGATCTGTTGGGGATAAAGGTGAAATGATGTTTTTACAGTGTAATATTGTGCATAAATTAAAAACAGTCTTGTTTTATCTGAACAGAATCTCAAACCACCGAAACCAGTGACGGTGGTTTGTGTCAGACCAGGACATAAATATGTGTTTTTTGGCTCCCTGCTGCCTCCGTACATCCTCAACTACCTGTGGTACAATCATCATTTCACATTGTTCACCTGCGCACATACACTACAAACAAACAAACATACATTTTGGAGACGTTCTCATTCTCTAACTGCACTTTACAGGACTTTTATTTTGAAATGATTTCTGGTACAGAACTGGTGGTTGTCGAGCAGCCGGAGGAAAGTTTGACCGACTGAGGAGGTTTTTCACTTTCAGCTTCAGATCGTATCGTCTGCTCGCTGTCGGGACTTTAAATCACCCGAAGGCTCCCTCCGATTAATAACATACTTATTATAAATTATTAGTTTTAATTAATCTGTTTATTAAGGGACAAAATTATTAATTATACAGAATGAATTTAGTTTTTTAAGGACTTGATTTCATATTTGTAAGGTACATATTAATAATTTGAGTGAACCAGTGAATCTGAATTACTAAATTCAATATTGACACTGATTAGTTTTATCTATGAAAGCCCTGAAAGGCAAGTTTTTCATTTTCTTATTTCGTCTATGAAAGGTGATAATTTATTTTATTTTATATTTTTTTCCACCTGTGAAAACAGGTTGAAAAGGGAAAAACTTTTTTTTTTTCAAAATCATTTTTCTAAAAAAGATTTTTTTTTTTTTTTTTCGCCAAAGATGGAAAAAAAAAAACTTGAACTTTCCTTTCAGAGCTTCCATAGAGGAAGAGTTTTAAGTTTTGGTTCCGACTCGTTTTCCGATTTCTTACTTTAAGAAATTTAAATTGATTAAACTGGTTAATTTAATCTGGATATTTTGGGGCCGGAGATATAAAACAAAGGTCTGCTGGCTCCGAATATATTGGCACATTTTTGAGGACGGACGTATTGAAACCGTATCGGTGGGTTTAGTTGGATACCGGAGCTTTCTACCCTGAGCAGTGGGTTTTCTTCCCGACGCGACAGATGAATGTCTGCAGTGAAAGTTTTGTACAGGTTGAGACGAACGTCGGAGGAAAAGGTTTGAAGGAAGTGGAAGTGTAAAAAGATTGAAAAGGTTTTTGTTAAAAGCACTTTTGTCTCCAGGTTTTGTCTCGGAGGTTCGACAGGAAACAGAAGTTTGTGTCGTCGTTTTTATGAAATGTTGTCGTTGATCCGTTCTGCTCTCATGGTGCTCTGCGTTTTTATACGATGACTGCTTTACCTGAACACCAGATGGACATGTACAGCCCATCAGCTGCCACCATAAGCTGTTGTAACTCATCAAATGCTGATTTTTTCTTTTTGTTAAATATAAAGTGAGTGAACTTTTCCACTTTGTGTCTGTGTGCTGATTAATAATATTTCATATTAATCACTTTACAGTGTGTGTGTGTGGTGGGGGGGGGGTCTTTATTAGGGCAGTTTATAATCCAGCCAGCAGTATGTCTATAATTAATATCACCACATAATCAATATCACCAATAACCAATCAATAAAGTCCATAAATACAAATAAGCAGATTTAACAGGTCAGTTGCTGCAGTGTTTCAGTTCTCTGTCCAACAGCAGGTGGATCAGGTCTGCCTGAGGTCCTGGTCCTTCAGAGACCTCCTTGTACAGGTCTGTGATGTCATTCAGGATCACACCTGCAGTTGTTTCTGACGATGAAACCTAAACCAGCTAAACAGGAATAAAACATTTTAATAAAAGTATTAATTTAGTATCAACATTAAACCTACACAAACACATTATATTGTTATTCTGTGATATTATTTTTCTTTTTTTAAGTTATTTTTTGGGCCTTTTTATGCCTTTATTTGATAGAACAGCTGAAGACAGACAGCAAAGGGCCGCAGGTCGGATTCAAACCTGGGCCGCTGCAGCAAGGACTCAGCCTCCGTACATGGGTCGCCAGCTCTACCCACTGAGCTAACCGGGACGCCCAGTGATATTATTATTCTCTTTACATTGCTCTCTGCTGCTGAGTTTCTCCTTTAGGGATCAATAAAGGATCTTATCTTATATTGTTTTATATATATATAGTTATATATAATAATTAT